GGATTTAGGGTTTGGGGATTAGGGGTTTAGGGGTTTAGGGTTTAGGGATTTAGGGATTTAGGGTTTAGGGGTTTAGGGATTTGGTCTTGAAGGATTTTGGGGGGGTCTACAGAGGGGTTTAGGGTTTCGGGTTTGGTTATTTGGATTTTGCGATTGAATCAGGTCATATACCATTGTGTAGGGTTGTATGGGCTATAGGGAGAATCACACCCAAAAAAGCATTGACATGGAACCTGGGGTTTTACAGAGGCTTAATGACTTCGAAGTAATGCACCGCAATATGGAATTATGCCCCGAATCCGGCAACATGGGAGTTTCTTGAAGCACCTTCGGGTTCAGGGCTTGCAGTTGCCCTACGGCTTCAAATTCTGAGACTCTGGGGCCTGCGTGTATTTGGGCTTGAGGCCTGACAGTAGATAAATTTGTAGGCGTGAGGGCCCCAGGTGAGGCGTTGTTGATTTTAGAAAAGGCAAGAAGGCAATAGTTGTAGACTCTAAAATAGGGTCAGTAGGCCATGCTAACCCTAAAAGTCTGAGGACCGGAATAATGGGGATTTGGGACTCAAATACATACTATAATATGAATGGTATTTGGGCCCTAAATCCGTATGATTTGGGTCCTTGGACCCTTAGGCTAACTGTGGACCGGACGTTCTCCGCCACGTTCTCGCTCGCTGAATTCTCCACCAGTGAAGCACGCGCCCCAAAGCGCATCGAGCTCAGTGACTCCCCGGCATTGTCGACGTGCGGAGACACGGCAATCAGCACCTTCAAACGGACAAACATGGAGAGGGCTTTTGGGAATCACCTCCCTCTGATACAATGGTACCTTACTACGGGTATTCATTGTCACGGGGGTGAGGGGGGGCATGATTAGCCCTAAACACTAAACCCAATGTAAACCCAAAACCGTATTCCTTAAACCCTAATCGCCAAGTCTTAAAACTCTAACCCAATCCCCCTTGTCGGGTTGCCAGGTGACTGCAGTCCGAGCATTACCTCCCAGACAGTTGCGGAGGAGTTGCGTGAGCTTCGAGTCTCGGTACCTTCCAGGATTCTATATTACTATAGAGGTATAGAGGACATGGTTCAGGGTTTTCGGGTATAGACTGTTCGGGTTTACGGTTTAGGGCTAAGCTAAGGACGTGGGGAATGGAAAAGACGATGGAACCGAGCATCTCATTTAGGGTTCAGAGATGTCCCTTGCCCGACAATCTGGGCAGCAAAACACCCATGCACACAAGCCGTCACATACCTTGCTAATGGCCCTACAGGCACAGGCCTGGTGCAAGCGAATCTTCTGCACTTGCAAGAACTTAAAATTCATGGACAATAAGGCAAGGAACACAACTGAATTTGCAGGCTTCTCAACAGGACCTTCTACAAAAAACAGCCGTCATTCCGAGGAAAACCCCTCTGCCCCAAAGGCCCCCACGGAACGTGCTTCTGCTTGTGCGCCAAAGCATAGATGACTTGACCCAGTGCCAGGAGGCTCTTGTTGATGTTCTTGGCCTCTGGCAGAAAGGTGCCTAACCCTGGAGATCAAAACTTCCCAATCTATAGATTAATAGACCTCAGGGGCCAACAGCAAGCATGCTTTTGTATGTCGATCCCCAAGGTAATCTTTTCATAGCATTGAATGCTGCGAACTTTTCGAAAAGCAGGGTTCCTAGCCATAGTTGAGACTCCTCATGACCCCTGCAAATGACTAGTTGATAGGGGCGTCTTCAGATTGGTCTTGATGTGCTTTCAAGGATAATGCCAACGCAGGGCAGGATTCTGACACGCTCACACCATGAAAGTAGCTGCGTGCTGCCGACCCTCGTTTGATATCAAAACGATACGAGATTTGTTTCGAGCAATGCTATGGCTTAGCCATGTAATCTATGGTAGCTTCCCAAAATAAGGGGACCCCAATATAGACCCCCATATACTATAATCCTTATTACGGGGCCCCAAAAAGGTACCCCTAATTTTAGGAAACTCCCGTATTGATGCTGTAGGGAGGGAAGGCTGTAGCGAAATTTTGATTAAATGAGAAGCATGAAATGCAGCAAACAACCATAAAGTCATAAAACGAATACCGAATAGGCTTGTAACATCGATCCGGGACCTGCTACTGCAATTCAGGCCTCTAACACTGAGCTCGCTTAGCACAATCGTGAAAACGCAAGCCTCCTTTTGGAAAGAGATCCCGCGTTTGAGAGTCTCCACACAGTTTCCCTAGCATCCCTGTAGCATCCCCGTAAGGGTTGTCGCTATATTCGGTCTCGTGTGGTGCCTCCAGCAATACTGAATCTGGTCGGCAGTCTCTATGTACCGATGCACGGAGAACCCCATGACTCGCTCGAGCTCCCTTGGTCCCTAAGGGCACAAGTACCCAAGAATCATATACTTATCCCAAACCTGTAGTACAATTACTATGACCAAATCCCAGGTACCCAATTGTTAGGTACATGGACGCTTAGGGGATGGCGGACCGAACATGCCAGAATTTTCGCGGCCTCCTCCAGCTGTGTTCCAGCCACGCCAGTCTTCATAACTCGCTCAGACCCGGCCAGGTCCACCTCACATCATAATCATTACAAAAAATGGTAGTAGCAGTAGCAGTAGCAGTAGCAGTAGCAGTAGCAGTAGCAGTAGCAGTAGTAGTAGTAATAATAGTAGTAGTAGCAGCAGGAGTAGGTAGCAGCAGCAGCAGCAGCAAAACTCGCAATGGAACAAGTAACCGTCATTGTTGTGCTGGTGAATCTTTCTGGGATAACCAGCTACACTATCTGTTGGCTGCAGTTTGGTACGCTTAAAGAAGCAAACTTTGCCAAATGTGAAAAATATGTGAACCGAGCAGGCTAAACTACCCATGGAAGAGAAGGCGTGACAGTCATCATGGTTAATTATCAGTGCCATGGCGATGTAGGGCTTAGGATTTAGGGTTTAGGGGTTTAGTTTGTTTTGTTTGTGCCTTTCCCTTTCCTCTTTAGGATTTCGGGTTGAAGGCTCTTTTCTGGGTTCAACGTAACTCCTCTTTCCAGTCACAGTCATCTTGATCACCGTGACCGTCATCATCCCGAAGCACAAAGACAAGTGTCCTTTGATAAAGTGGACCATACGAGCTTCCATATTCAGGTGCGGGGGGGCGCAGTTCTAAAACCTATCTGCCCTTTATAGTCCCACTTAAGTAGGTAGAATATGGCTTTGGATATATTATAATAAGATCCCCATATACCCCATATTGAATCTACTTAAAGGAGACTATAATTCTAAGCAACAGAGGACTGGCTTCGTCTTCGAAAACTCCTCCCTTTCCAACCTGCAAGTCCTCAAGCTCATAGCAGACAACCTGTCACCTGTGAGCCAATCTCCTCCTTCTTGTCCTTAGAAAAGAGCTATATGTACATATATTAATATATATATATATGTCCTAATATGTATAGATATATATACAGAAAACGTCGCACTACAGGCCCCAGTTTTTCGCATTTCTGTTTTTGCGTATAATTCTACAAAATAGAGATATTGCTTCCCTGAGTGCCATCGAGAATACAAATATGGGATATCGGGATATACCAACATCGCTTCCACATACCGCCAAATTATTTAGTTGCAAGCAAATGCTGCTTTCTTGCCTGCTCCTTGAGTATATAAACAGAGTTAATAGGTGAGGGAAGAGAGAGGCCTTTAAGAGGCTGGG